GATTTTCTGTCATTGAGTTATTGATCAGGAGATCATCGTGTTGTTGGCTAAACAGGTCATGGTCCCATAAGCAATAAAGAAATGAATTGGTAGACAGCTCGATAATACAACTGCTTCTATAATACACGGCCGAATCATATGAATATGATAATTTATTGCTTTTGAACTCATAACAATCATTGGGGGGATTAAGGTTGGCAGTAGAATTTAGTCGCCAATAACGACAATCAGAAAACATAAGCCTTTGTGAACATTGTTGATGATGTACAATCCTCCAAATATAACTTATGAGAAAGGATACCAATGTCGATTTACGACGAGCATAAAGTTAACTTTCAAAACATTTTCACTACATTACTTTACAAACTTTCAGATAATTTCTTGCGATGATTATAATAAATAACAACGATTAACTCCCAATCGGTGTAACTTATATATAACCGATGAATTTAAATTGTATTTTTAATTCTAGTGGGGTGATCACCAACGAAGCGTTTATTACGAAACCGGTCTTTTTTCTCTAGTTAACGGCAAAGTAGAGAAAAGAATAGAGGAAGTTTAGTTCACTGTACTGAAATCAGAGTTGAAAACATATTATCAGTTTAGCGCATGAATGTAATAAACATCTATACCGGAATACAGGCAAATTCAGAGGACGAGTACAAAATAAAACAAAACAAATATATTTTACTCCACTACTAATCATAATCCAAAAAATATAATCAAGGGCGGTGACGTACAGAGGTAGTCTATTTAGATTTATTAAAAAAAAACAAGCTAAAATTGCATTAAACTACATTGGCAATATTGATTTTAACTTTTTTTTCATATCACTGGTGGTGCAATAAGCATTTTCTCCTCATTACTCATACAGTTCTTTCACATGTTCTCAACCATTTAGTTCGACATTATTATTGTTTATATAATGAATATGTGATTAGATCGTTCAAAGATATGTTGTGCTAATAAACATTATATTCTTCTGCTGAAATCCATCTTCTCATTCCACCACTTGAACAATTAAATTCACTTTTTGCAATCAACGAGCAAAACCATTCTACGTTTCAGTGATCACGTTTTAAAGGAAATCCTCACCACGAAATGACATCAACCGCAGAACTGTTGAAAACTAAGAAGTGCTCGATAGCTAAATTTTTTTACGTTTTTGGACATTTAAATAGTCAAATGCAGTGTAAGACCTGATCTATATATGTACACACGACTGCAGACGTTCAATTTTAACGAGATAAGATTAACAAGATGAAAAGTAAAAGACTGTCATCTCATTTGTAGTGGATGTGAGTAGTACTTATTTCAACCAACTTAATCGGTGACTTAAAAAATCATTAGCTAGTTTACTCTCTGTATCGATTTATTATATACGAGTAATGCCTCGAAGATACTCATAATCAAGAAATTACAACTTACACAACTCTTGTTTTCATGTAATGTATTTCACAATAAACTCCTGAGCAGTATATCCAGTTTTTGACAAGCATACACGCGATAAGAGTTCAATAATTTGATTCTTTATTAAATGAGTGTGAAGTCATTAACTTCTCGTCTGAGCTATGTTGGTAGATGCAGACTAATTGGTTGGGGTCTGCGCGACTATCGCAACCAATGGTTGGATACTCTGGGTGACATGGCTCAGAATCGATCACAATGTCATAGATGTATACACTCTATGTCTTCCTTTAAACCGTGAGATTAGAATTACAATATACCTTTCTTTCTAATTCCTTTTTGCTGTACTAAATCCTCAAATGCAATCTTTCTTTTATATATTACTATCACTGAAGTAACTACTTTTCTGAATTTGATGATCATCTTGCTGTGATAATGAGGTATAGCAACTTGGACTGATGCATATAGGTGCCTGGTAATACGTTGTAGCTGACTGACTGACTGACTGACTGACTGACTGACTGACTGACTGACTGACTGACTGACTGACTGACTGACTGACAAATCCCGTTTTAGAAACGTAATAATTAAACATGTGTTACAAATGTACGGATGGGATTTCGATTACTCAAGTATGACATCAGTGTACACAAATAACAACACAGACGAATTCAGATAAAAGTCAAATCAATACTAACAGGCTATTAATACGAATCGACTACAAAACGGTATTCTCCTTTCATAACAAGTCCTCGAAAATGAGGAAAATGATGTGAAGTAAAACTTGGAGCTAATCTCAGTGGCACTGACCAACACATATGCAATTTAACAATCAGCTACACAACTTTGGTCGATCAACCACAGTCGATCATACACAGTCTATTATCAATATTATAAGTGACTAGTCAAAGTAATATATTACGAGTTACTTAGCTACTTAGCAAATTTTACTGGTCAGTCATATTTAATGATTATTAATTAAGTTAAGAGAAAAAAATCTCAGTGGTCTAAGGAATCGATTTTTAAAAGGAACACACCCAATGTTTGAGGCAGTCCTCTTTGTTAACAATACTTGAGTAGCCAAGGGGTCAGTAACTCTTACAGCACAAGAGATGTAACTCATAGCCTAATTAGATGAAGCTGTACGTGATAACAGAACCGGATTGACTACAGATCATCTTGACGAAGCAAACGTGGAAAGAATTCAAAGTTTGGAGAGATGACAGAATTGAATGGTTGAACTGATCAATAGCAACTCAAATACTCATATGCACAAATAGAATTTAACGTCAATTAATTATTTATTTACATGTAATAATCGGTACATCACTTTAATTATTCTTTTAGTTTTTTTTTCTTTTCGTTCTTCATACACTTAGTTGTGTTCTCCTCAGATATGTTATGTTTCCGTTTTTAAAATTACTTTATACCTTTATTCATACGAATTAATTCATTCTTCCTGTATTATACCCTTATACACAATCTTTCTTTTATGTATTACTATCATTGAAGTAACTAGTTCTATGAATTTGGTTTTCATCTTGTGCTTCAGAGGTGTAGCAACTTGGACCGATTCATATATGTGCCTGGTCATACGTTGCAGCTAACTGACTTTGATTACATTCTTGGTCTGTATTAACTGGTTAGTTCGGCTGTTGTTTCATTCTTTTTGGTTATTTTGAGACATCATGAACTTTTTCACATCACAGACAACGAAGAGGATACCAGTGTCAAACAAGGTCAGATAAAGTATCTCAAACCATGTATTTCAAATAACTAAAGAACTACTACCTTTTTATAGAAAAGTAAAGAACAACTATTGACAACATTTGTCACATATCGTGAACTAAACGTAATGGGAATCTACCAAGTTGGCTGAGAATTAAACATTTTGACAGATAGTAGTTTATAGTGTACTGATTAATTCAGTAAATAAATATTTACAACCTCCTAGATCACAACCCTAAAGCAAGCTCTTACAATGATTTATTCAATTGGTTGTATCACTATACATGGATAATGATTTTAAACTGACTAAAATTGTATATCTGTAACTGAAATGGTAATGCGTCGTAGTTGAGAAAAATAAAAAATAGAATTTCATTACATTACAATTGCCATTCGAAATGTTTTTTTTTATATTTCTGTTAAAGATAAGGAAAAAGCACAAAGTGACAAATAAACTTTTAGTATCCAATATTAAGTTTCCGTTGGTAACAAAATTTATCCGATTTAGATAAATTGCAAAACACAGAATTCGACTACAAATTAACTTAAGGATGAAATGTCTTTTTTTAATTTTATATCGTATAATAATACTCCTTATCAGCAACAATCTACTATGGGAGAGAACAAACCAGATTCCAGCGGAGGAGGAAATCAGGAAGAAGCGCTGAAAGTGGATAGGACACACATTGAGGAAAGTACCCAACTGCGTCACAAGACAAGCCCTCACATGAAATCCTCAAGGCCGAAGGAGGAGAGGAAGACCAAAGAACACATTACGCCGAGAAATGGAGATAGACATGAGAAGAATGAACAACAATTGGATAGAACTGGAGAGGAAGGCCCAGGACAGAGTGGGTTGGAGAATGTTGTTCGGCGGCCTATGCTCCATTGGGAGTAACAGGTGTAAGCAAGTAAATAATAATACAATTCAAAGATCTTTCATTTTTGTTTACTTCGTTAATTGTTGTAGAATATTCTTACATACAATTTAACTTTTGCTGATATTTTCATTTTCCTCTAATTCCATATAAAGTACTATCACAAAAAGACTTTGTATTCTTTTAAAGAACGATTAATTTTAACCTGCCAAGTTGTAAAGAATACGCTACCACAAATAATTAACATACGACTCCTGATTTTCAACAATAAAGAACTAATGAAAACTACACAATTACATTGAGACCGAAAATAATCTGTGAATAATTAGTTTTGGGCATCACTTCTATAAAAATACAGGTATCTGAATAACATTACTGTGTGGGTTAACTACTGATTCAGGGAATAAAATATTTTATATCACGAACTGACCTTAGTTAGATAACCATTAGAAACGAGAAAATACTAGACAGCTGTTTATTCTTAGCATGTAATTTCTAATTGATGAGTTACCACGACTTTGTGGGGGGTCAAACGTAGATTATTTAGGTTGCGCTGCGAGTGGTTAACCCTTAGGTTACTTATTCTGACACCCATTAGTTTATGTGTCTAACTTCACAATGCACACATTGAGACTTTTTGGTCACGGTTTCGCACTAGAACTCCTTGGGGAGGTAGTAGTAAGTGCTGACAACTCCTGAGTATTATGCTGGGACAAAATAGTCATAGAGTGATTTCTGGTGTTTAATAGTTGTATAACTAAGATCACTTTGCAATGTAAACGACGAAATAACATAATAATAATAAACTTAAAAACTCTGGTGCATAGGGATAGCAAAAGCATGCACTCATAGGAAGTTATAAACTTGGACGAAACAACCATCTATCTAATACTAGTCTGTGATAAAAAAAAGACTTTTTCGATTACAGTCATAAACAAAAACAACATATCTGTGTAATTACATAATGTGAACAAAAAAAGCACTTACCATAGCGTTTGCATTTAAACGATTCATAATCGATGTGAGTATATGATAAGAATCATGTGATTCGGTGATAATGAATTTCAGAAATAATTTAATCATTGAAGGTTCAGTTAAACGACGTAAAAACAATTCCAGATAAGCTGTAGCTGCAATTACTTCATCCATAGCACTCTTTAAATAAAAGCGATAGTAACTATTACATAGATATATACATACAATTTTAATCACATACTTATTAGTTACATATGAATAAGTGTGGCATACGGTACTTTGAGAACTATTCTACGGATATATTACAATAAACATTTCTATGATGCATGTGGTAAATATTTGATTTACGGTACTTTTATATCGCCCTAATTGCAAGTTTCCAACTAGGTAGTTAATCATAGGCTATAGTCAATTATTCCCCTGTTACTCAATTTTATAAAATCCTACTCACACTTCCTCGAGGTCCCCCTGAAGAAAGTGAAACTTTAATCCATGAAAGTAAGTGGCTGAGTGCAGATCAGACGAGTCCCTCACTCCGTCGTAAACATGGATTACATGAAGGGCTTGTGGTAAAGGCTTATGTGATATTCGGAACTTGAAAGAATAAGTTTCTCGTTTTTCGCCTGACCAGATTATCTCTACGATGCCCCATTTGGTTTGGTAAAAACCAGAGCGATGACCATCAACTGTGTCGTAACCAAAGCACAAGATTCGACACTCAACTTATTTGTGGTATGAGCATAGAGTTGATCATAAACAGACTAATTTAATCAAGTGACTTGAAAGCAAGTACATTAATCATTTCCCACCGTAACTGGGCTCTAGCCTGGAGGCAACAAAAGCAAATTAGATCCACACCCGTGTGTATACTGTAGATGCAAATTTCCTCTCTATCTACTCCAATAAATGATATCCCGTTAACTCAGTATTTAAGGTGGGCTAAATCTCCTGGTAGAATTATGGATTTACTCGAGATTATTCAGAAGCCTGAACACCAGTTGTAGAGATATTTTATTGTTAAAGATTAATAAAATCCACAAGCGTACAGCAAGCAAGCACACAGTGAAACAAAGAGTGTGAGTGTGAGTTTAAAAAATCCATATATGTTTATGAGTGTTAATCAAGTGTGGATAAATTATTGATTATCTGCGTGTTACAACCAATGGGAGAATAAATTAAGATTGATGTGCAGACACGCGCTCAATCATACACACAAAGAAATTAACATAGGGAATTAAGTGTCTAAATTACAGTGAGTAGACAAATAATAAAATGGTTGGATGGGCTTACTACAATACTATGGAGTGTATAGGCCCTGGTTTATGTATCATATGTATGCATGTAATGTATACTTGCGGTGTTATCCACATTTCATACTGATGTACACATTATCCCTCACAAAGCTCATGGATTACTATAAAGTTTTCTGATAAGGGTGCCCCCAGTACAGCTATACAGAAGTAAACAAGTAATGTGTCCGTCTCCTTCATAAAGTATGGTTGAATCGAAATCCTCAATCTACATGAACTGTACCAAAGTAAGCTGCTAACGTGCCAATTACCTTTGCTATCTTCAGTGCTCCAGTCTTGCACATCTTTACTAAAGATATTTCTTTTCTCGACTAGCCGATAGGCGTTCGTACTTAGTTGGACGGGATTAACTAATAATTAATTAGCTGTTACTCAATCTGGTACCATGAACGACCAAGTTATGTTAAGAACGTGAACTAGTTGGCGTATTGTGTTTTTGCAATTTATGCATATGATTAAGATCTTTTGGACCACATAATAGAAAGTAAATCAGATGGCTGGGCTAGGAGGTAGGAAGTCATAATATATATATATATATATATATATATATATATATATATATATATAAATTTGAGTTAACATGCTTAGTGGATACAACAAGTGTAGCGAATGTCATTAGTGTTACTTGACGTGAGCGGTCTCATCACCAAGGCTTAAACAAATTCGGTGAGAAGATAGAAGTTTAATTCATAACAAGATCAACTTAAGATAGGGTATAGTGATAATATAAAAGGCATCAGACTGTTGTTCATTCTAATTTAAGGCTCAGCAGCAGCAGAAAGGTAAGTTTGTCAAATTACGATATTCTGAAAAAGTACACATTATAATCTGAAACAACTGAGAACAGAAAGTTCTAGAGAATCAACAAATAGCAATCATCTACATTGTAAATAGTAGTAATGGTAATATTTGAGTTGAACTACAGCTCTTCTTCTTAGTTAACTAAAGCAAAGAGTTCACTGTAAAACCCAAAAAGAACAGTTAGAATCCGCTTTAGGTATAATGTAAGTTTGAATTCCCATTCATTTATTATGCTCTTTAGGGAATAAATAACAAGTTGATCTATATTTTAATTTATTTCGAACAACTTTAACATTGCACAGTAGTTAGAAAACCACTTTCAATAAGTCACTGTATAAAAAAGAAACTAAACTTTAAGTGAAAGAGAATAAAACTATAATCATTCAAAGTCACTGTGGTGTGGGTTACTTATTACCACATAAGTAGTATATAACGGTGGTCAGGCACAGAATATATTTCAGTAGAAGATCGATAAGGAAAGAACAGAAACAGAACGCAATTGATATGAAAATGCATGAACAATAAATCTGAAACAATGGACTGATATTTGCAAAGGAACAATCAAGTTTGAGGCGATGGATTGATATTTTGCAAACTAATTATTTACTATATGGTTCTCAGATTTCATTGAGATGCTCTGCAATTTCGTGCCAAACACATCCGATTGTCCCCACTCGTGTTACTGTTCACTACATTCCCTATCGAGAATCATAGTGAATTCATCGAGAAAGTCATTAAAAGCTAGGAATGAATGAAAATACTTAGTTCAATCAGCGTTCAATACAAATTCTCAGTTCTAAAAAGACAATGAATTATATCTCTCAACATCCTGATTGAATAATTACCAATTTTGTTATTATTTTAACATATTTCCAGAAACTTAGGAAAAGTTACATATAACCCTAGAAATCTCATTGTTCTCTTTACAAAAACTAATGTTAAAACTAAAATCTCACTTGTTGTCTTATATAGATTACCGAAGGAATATGATGCAATAAGGAAGTCAATGTCAAAGATTCAAGTATCAGACATATCAGTCATTATCGAATATATTGTGAAGAATCTCAGCTTTTTTCATCAACACTACAAACCAGTAACTTAAAAAACCATAATTAGTTTGGAATTTATAGTTCAAGATTAAATAACATCCTGTCAATTGTAGATGTTAGTTTACTTAACTTCTAATTACAACTGAACAGTTGTACAACCGAAATGCAACGCAGAGTAACCATATAAGATTTGATGTAAGAAATCGTAAACAACATTAATTATAAAAATGTTAACAATGCTACTTAATGGTTCGAACTGCTACGACAATCGCAGTACGTTGTACAATGAATGAGCAACAATAAACATACCTGATGTAATGCAGATCCTAAAACAGGAACCAAGAATCCAGAATGAATAAAATATAGTAATTGATCACGAACATGAGGATGTGCAATCTAAATAAAAAAAACAGAAAAAAAATGGTATATAAAAATAAGCTTGACTGGTAAATATAATAACTTTGTAGGTATGAGCCAAATAACAGTTCTACTAACACCATTTACTACAAAAGATAAAAAGTTATTAACTGGAAGTATTCGTAATTTCTAGCAAAGATTATTTGACCATTTTGACTAAGGTATCGCAATACTATTAAATCCTATAATCTAAGAAAACAATTGGACAAGTTGCATGTCATTTCCTTTGTTCTGTCTACCCACTCTTGGTGCTGAGGATACTTATCTAATCCAGATTATGACCTTGGCGCAATAGGCTGACTGACCTAACCTTGAGGCTAGTACGCGTGAGTTCGAAGTGGGGTAGATAGGAAACTATTCTATCAGCTGATTGGCTGACAAGCACGCGAATGAGAGAAGACAAGACAGCTAGAACACTAGTCGATCTACTCCCGATATCCTGATTTCAGTTCAGTTCAGTTCAGTGTCAAAAGGAACATGAATAAGTAAGTGAACAACCCGACCATAAAGTACAATAATTAGGAAAAATACAATTATGTCCAAAGCTGGGAATTAGAGTAGAAAATAGGGTGCAAAATATTGTTTAGATTACAATAGCTTCGGAACAAAAAAGGGTATGGCAATGAATCATACATCGAACGAAAGCTTATGTTCTGTAGAATAGATTAGGGACAAAAATAAATGTCAGTGTTTTACAAGCTTTGAATAAAATGGAATAACGTCCCGAAAAACAGCTTTCGTAGTTTGTCAGGGCTTCTTGTCTTCCTGTTCACAACAGTGCATTACAAACTGCTAACCAATAATGAAATTTCCAAAAATTTAAATTAGCAAGTTGTAAGCATTAATTAGTATATTCATTTTGTATTATTTGTTTGAATCTTCCCATTGATGTTTAGGATTTCAATTGATCAGTTCCTTATTGGCATCCTGTACGGATTGCTTCGATATTGCCTTAAGTCACAAGCATTATAAAAAAAGATGAATGATGGCTAGCAGTGGAATCCAGGACGTGTGTTTCGTCCTATTTGGGACCTGGATTGGTATATATCTCCTGCTAATCAGTTAATCAAACATTACCATAAAAGGAGCAATTTTATTTTACAACACTATGACTAGTACGAAGGCATTAAACATTATCACAGTCGCTATTCTAGAAAATAACAAAACTTTAAACATATTCCGCCTTCTCTATGTATAATTCTCACTTTTATACTTCTTCCAATCTAAAAAACATAATTCCAAAAGAACACATATCAAAAGATGAGGCGCATATATATTGGCGCTCTCTTGTACCAATATTTATGTGTTCAAATAAATAAATAAAATAAAATAAATAACAGAGACTGAAGTCAATAGTGACCATGGGATGACTAAATATTTAAAAAAAAAAACAAATGAACAAAATATGATATCTATACTTGAAGCTGTCACTTTAGTTGAAAGATTCCTCTTATAGAGTAGTATTCCAAGACAAAAAATGTTCGAACAAACGATCGCTCTTAATAAAATTATCATCAGACTTTACAGTAATAAATCCATAATTATTGTAATACAAATGTCAAAAATGAGGTATATATAGACAAGTTGTAAGTGAACTATGCAATATGTGAACTTTAGCATAGATTACATCACATATACGTTAAAAATGTCATTTGTAAATTTGAAAGGTCATTTAAGAAAAGGAGTAGGTAAGTTTGTTGTACACTGTCGAGCTACAATCGATATAAATCATGTGGAGGAAATGCACAGTAAGAGAAATGTCTGGTTTATTGAGATAATAATAATAATCATTCAGTCGTGTGAATAAAACATGCAATAAGAGAAATGTTGTCAGAGTAATTGATATGAACTGAGAAACATCAATGAACAAATCAAGAATGGGACAGAACGAAGATTGATGAGGCAATGGTGGACCATAACAAAAAGAAAGATTAAATATTCCTCTGATGTATACATAAGTTTGATTCTTTTGAGTTAATCCTGATAACTTTCATTATATAGAAGAGCCGTAATCTTGCTAATTTATGTGAATTATTTGGGGGTCAATATAAAAACGAAAAGAAATAATCTTTTAATGTATTGTTCGCTGTCTATCAAGTGAGGAAGGCTGGTGCTGTTAACAGATTTCGTAAATCATTTTTCCAACCATACGAGAACAAGTTCACGAGCACGCAATGATAAGGCTCTTTGAGTACGGTCTATTCAACTAGCTCTACAGGAGCTATCGTTTAATCACAAATACGTAGGGCCGAAATGTATGTAACATATAATTGCATTTCTAGTAGTGAACAAATTAAAGCCATTTGTTTGAGTTCTGTTTATTACGTCTGTTCACTCTTTAACTGTTTAGTACACTTGAAATGTCTCTTTTTGTCGATTGCTTTCAACTAAGTGATAATAGTAACAGCACTAAAGTAGTTAATCTAAGTTTAAACATTTGGGCTTTTAGGTCATTCTCAATGGGATAAAAAAGACTACTAGTTACTAACAATGACGACGGTATAAATGTCAATGAGATAGTTAATTTTTCTCTATAAAATTATTCTATCAGGATCATGTCTAGCATGGAAGAGAAACGCTTGCGTAATGAAATCTAAGCCATCAATGCAGTAGGCATAAACATTGCTAAAGGTTTTAAAAATGTTAGTAAAAAATAAACTAGAAAACGCATACATCTTTCTTACTTTAATAGTCAGATTACAAAAATGTAATGTATGTAAAAACCGGCGTAGATCGATTGAATTGGAACATTCATTCTCGGTTATCTGATGCCATTCAGCTCCACCGACTTGTAATTCCAACAGACATGGGTTGAGTAAATCTGATTGGATATAGATTGGCGTAGTTACAGAAACTGGACCTCCGGGAGAATTTAATGAAATATTACCGTTATGATTTTGACATAGCCCATAACGTGGAACTAACTTTTTTGGTAGACTAGAATACAGACCACTTAAACCAGTAGCTAAAATCTGAAGTACAAAACAAAACAAAAAACAGCCAATACATAATTCCGACCCAATTAATTGTGCTATGACAAGATTAACAGAAGACACACCCAAATATCGGCTGAACGTATACATGAAGAAAAATATGATCAATATTATAACAGACGGACTACGATAAGACAGAAGTGACATTGTATGCACCATTTTATTGGAAAACTAACCTGGCTCTAACAAAAACAACCCTATTTGTAAACACATACATTAATAATTTAGTTACTTCTACATAACAAGGCAAAAGCTAGCTGGTTAAAGAGCTTGATTTTTTAACTACTGAGTTAGCAGGTTGTTGGGATATTCAGGAAAATATCCCAAAAATTATCCTGTTAAGGCTAATGCTATCCTTGGACATGAAATGGTATCATCTTATTGGTCAATATTTATTTAACGTGTCATTTTCCTACTGGCCATTATTGTACAATGTTATTTCCTATTTTATCGTACGATGTGGTCTGTTTGACTGGTATATAAACAAAGTATGTTTGAAATATAAGGATTCATATCTCCGAGGCTGTCACTTGTGTTCTGGACTCAACTGGCTGGGTTAGATAGGGAAGCGAGACCAATCAGAACCCTAGGTCGTTCTACGTGTTTGTGCGTCTTTGGTCCGATCAATAATTCCCTACCCTCAATCCGCAGCATCATTTTCACGTTATAACAATTGGCGACGGGGTGAAGAAAAGATACAATCCAAAGTCATTCTGTAATTGGACGAAATCCAGTCTAATTATCCAACCAATCAGTATCCAGATTGTCATCAGTGTCCTTGAACCACATTGGTCATTAGTCATACAGTAATTTTCATCACAGGTGCTGATTCGAAAAAATGACTCTCCCTTCCGACCGATTACAGCTGCTCTTTGAACGACATTTGGACTTATTAGTCAAATTCCGCACGCAGCTGCTAAATCACTCATGCTATGAAGACGCGACGGAAGTGGATGGATTGATATCTGAAATACACAGTGAGCTGGAAAATGACAGCAGCCTCCATGAATCCTCGATGAACTGTACTTCAAACGAAACAGTCATCCATGATGCGCCCAGTGGTCCAGTACTTTCTATCCCAGAAACATGCCCGGTAATGGAGTCAAACTCCATCATCCCCCAAACAGCATGTGCAGACAGTAACATATCCAGCTCACGAGAAGATCTCATTGTTTTGCCAGAAAATGTGTTCCACGCATCAAATAATAACCAAGAACCTGGTACAGTTTTGTTGGACGCCGATTATCATAATGATCCACTACTTACTAAAGATTTAAACCCTGATGACTTCGAATTGGATGGCGTTTATCCTCAATATCTGATCGATTTTACTGGATTCCCTGCGCAATATGTTTTAAATACAACCAAATTAATTGTAATTTGGGTTTATGAAGACCCAACATTATTTCGCGGGGGAGGATAGACGCGGAAAAAATTTAAAATCCGGACATCAACTCCGGATCTCCAAAAAAGGGAGGTGTTGGGATATTCAGGAAAATATCCCAAAAATTATCCTGTTAAGGCTAATGCTATCCTTGGACATGAAATGGTATCATCTTATTGGTCAATATTTATTTAACGTGTCATTTTCCTACTGGCCATTATTGTACAATGTTATTTCCTATTTTATCGTACGATGTGGTCTGTTTGACTGGTATATAAACAAAGTATGTTTGAAATATAAGGATTCATAACCCCGAGGCTGTCACTTGTGTTCTGGACTCAACTGGCTGGGTTAGATAGGGAAGCGAGACCAATCAGAACCCTAGGTCGTTCTACGTGTTTGTGCGTCTTTGTCCGATCAATAATTCCTACCCTTAATCCGCACATCATTTTCAGGTCAAACACATAATGGACTCATTTAGGTTTTAACAGCTAGTTAGTTTCATTTGAGGTTCGCGCATAAATGGCTTAAAGATTAATACATAAGCTTATACTTGACAAATGATTTGCAGTAACCCTGGTGCTAGGTCAGCAAGGTGTGTCTTCAGACTTCAGGGAAATGGTGTTCCGCGTGGAACTAGAACTAGACCCACCCACTTTCCCAGAGTGAAACTTGCCACTGAGCTATTCAGGCCAAGACTTACCTCATGTAGAACTGAGATGTTTAAAACTGGATGATTACTACGTAGTGGCCAATGTCATGTTTGACTAGTCTTTTGACACAGATCAAATACCAGAGATCAAGTTGCAACTGCTTGATGTGGGTCCAAAGCCCACAGAGAGTATTAGGTCCCTTAAGAATTCGTGTACACCTTGACGACGATTACAAACTGGTACGAAACCTGTGCCAATACTACAGGGCCTCCTGTCGAATACCTCCAACCATCTAACATCTTGACATAGTACAGGCGATGTGTCAAGTCACTTAGACTGGTGGACATATTGTAACTTGTTGACCGATATAATTCGATCAGTACTAAAGGACTAAACAAACATGATATTTGTTAACTAGTTGTAAAGTTAACACTACACAAGGTTACAATATAATATTTAGTCTCCATCATAACTTCAGGATATTCGTCATGAAATAGCCAGTAGTAGGCATATAGTCTTAGTGCGTTGATATGTATTGATGATAAGAAAAGAATTCTATGTTTAGATGTCGCACTTTTACCAACAGAATGAAATTTTAAAAAATGACTCAAAGGAGGTTCTTCGGGCTAAGAATGAATAACTTTGACAAAGGGTTGGTGAAACTTCATATATAGTCCTGAATTCTTTTCTATATGGAAATTTGTGCTTTGAATGAAATTGCACGACCCATTTTTACTATGTAACAAGTTATAAAAGGATTACTGTCTGTCACCCAACTTCATTGAATTTCCATAATCCCAGTGAATCTGAAGTGGTATGGGCCTATGTTTCTTCAGTCACTACTGCATACTTTGAACGATCACTCACTAACTTCAATGTGTTCGTACATTCATGAACTAGTAAATATGATCTAATAAAACGTAACCGTTTGTATGATGTGCTGAAATATATCTTTTTAAACCCCGACCCACGTAATTCGATTTGAGGAACCGAAAAGTGCCATTACACCTCATCCAAAGCAGATCAAAGATACATACACAAATCTGGAGTTAATAAATCGCACATATAGGAAAGAATTACAGACGAAACGTTAAATCCCTAGGAGACATCACACCATAGATCCTCCTAAAAACAAAAATGCAACTAATGAACAAATAGTACACAGACCTGAGTTCAGAGATAACGCCTTATATAACCACAACCAGCTTACCGGACATATATCAGATTCATATGCTAAATACTGACCAAGACAATCATTTTTATTAGAAAGTCCAAATACGATTAAGAGTGAATCTCTAGCCGAATCCCCCAACGGGTCATTTCGATGTACTAATGGAACAAGCAATGAAAATATCATATACGGTTGGTTGAAAATTTCTTTGCATAACTAAAATAAACAATAAAAATATCCAAATTCATGATTATGATCAATGATTTAAAATCACAAATCAGTCAGTTGCAACGTAGAACCTTAGTACATCGGTTCAAGCGTCCATATCTCACTAAAACAGATAGACGAAATTGTCAGGTCAAATCCCAGAATAGTAAAGGAAGTAAAAGTATGAGTGGTGAATAACACGGTATATTGGTTCACTGGACGACACCTGACGTGAGGAAGTCCTACTCACTGCCTTATCGCGGCATTACTGTTGTTTACGAAATCCAGAGGACAAACAGCGAATGTCAGGCACTTTAACCGGGCTGGTCGATATGAAGGGTCCACCTAGGAAAGTTGGAAAACCCTAATTCCAAATCAACGGTGCACATAGGCTCCAGAATCCTGAGGGAACAAATGTTGTATGAGCCAATCGTTGGTCACCGGCTATTATGGGACTGCATCTCCTTACGTTTCTCTATTGCCTTGTGGATCAGACCATTGGGTCGAAGGCTCTGAGTATGGCCGCTTCAGAAAACCACCTGCTTTGATTTGGGCACTCGGGCAGTATCACAGCCCACACACAAACCAAGTAACTTCTGTGGTGCATATGTATTCGGTACCCCTTGGTACCAATATTTATGTCTTTAAATAAATAAATAAGTGGTAATTGAAAAAAATAGGCAACGAAGATACTGTTATATCCGGTGAAGATTAGATTACAGGTAACTTCCAAGGACTATTCATGGACTAATATTCTATAAATATTCTTATTGTATAACTACTCAACAATTACACTATGTATATTTATATTCCTTTTATGATAAGCTTTATTTTGACTTATAATTTATTATTGTACGATTTACGGTTCTTAAGCTATGTTCAGTTTATTAACTACTGCCTCCCACATTCACAGCCACTTTTTAGGCTTATTTGTGTACAAATATTATTTCCTATTTTATGGACGTTGAGGTCTGTCTGATTGATATATAAACCGGGTATGTCTGAAATAAACGATCTGGTCTGATCTGCTCTGATTCGGAAGCTGGTATTGTGTTCTGGACTCAAGTGGAAGGGCTCGGAGGACATAGGACCAATAAGGACGCTAAACTGCCCACACCGGTTGAACGTCATTGGTTGGCCTAGTGTGAAGATTCGTATAAGTCGTACTCGGATTGGTAGATAGGTCGTGTGATAGAGAAACCAGACATTCAAGGTCATAACAATGCAATTCTAGAAAATATAAATTCGTGGGGTAAAAACACAAAGAAAGTTGTCAGGAATTGAGAAGCTCAAAAGGGCTGTTTGTTAATACCTGCACTTTTCTGACGATGATTATGGTAGTCCCCCAGGTTTCAACACCTTACAGTAGGACTGTCTTAACGTTTGCATTGGAAATTTTAACTTTGATGTTGGCTAGCAGTCCGTTTGAGTTCCATATGTTCCTCAATTGTAGAAGTGCTGCTCTTACTTTGTCAATCCGTGCCTTTGCATCTGCATCAGATTCTGCTTCTTTATCGATTATTCTGCCCAGGTACGTGAAAGATTCCACATCTTCCAGAGCTTCTCCATCAAGTGTGATTACGCTGGTTTTCTCTGTGTTGTATTTGATGACCTTGCTTTTTCCTTCGTGTATGTTGAGACCTAATGATGCTTCCCGTCTGATGTCAAGGTCTTCATATTCCAGTCAATCACTAGAAGAAGGAGGAAGGGGGAGAGTACTCAGCCTGGTCTGACTGCAGTCCTTATTTCGAATGCATCCGTCGGCTGTCCTCCATGCACGACTTTGCATTACAGTTCGTCTTATGAAGTCCGGATAATACTGACGATCTTCTCAGGTACTCCATAGTGTCGAAGAAGTTTCTATAATGTCCTCTTACCCACACTGTCAAACGCCTTCTCATAGTCGAGGAAGCTGATGTATAGTGACGAATCACATTTAATTGATTGCACAATAATGATCCGTAGTGTCACGATTTATTCTGTGCCCGACAGATCCTTACGGAATCCGTCCTGTTGAGCTCGAAGTTGGGCGTCTACTGAGTCTTTCATCCGGTTCAGCAACAATCTGTTGAAAACCTTTTCTGGTACTGACAGTAGTGTGATGCCTTTGTAGTTCCCACACTTGCTCAGATTTCCTTACTTTGGTTTCTTGATGGGGTGTCCTTCTTTCCAATCCATCGGCACTTATTCTTCCTTCCAAATCTTCCTGAACAGAGTGTGGAGCATGTTTGCAGTTACTTCTATGTGTGACTTCAGTGCCTCAGATGGTATATTGTCAGGTGTACTTGCGTATACTGTATGAAACACTGAAAGTTTATTCATGAAAACTAAGATGAATACTATTTCATCCAATTTATCCATTGGTCACAATAGTTTGGTTGATTTACTACTCATGTTAAAAATGTGGAAGTGTATTACGACGGATGGTCGATCTGTCTTTGTTAAAATTTAGATTTTGTCCAATAGTGATGACAGAAATATGAGACCTGAATTTAAACCGATCACAGATTTTTTTATCCAAACGCTTAAGTTAATAGTCTCAAGTTAAAGTCTAGAGTTGAATATTTTTGATAATAAATAAGAAAGAATGTTAATAAGGAATGGAAGACGTGTGGAATTTACAGAATACCCACTGATAGTTCTATCTACCCTAGAACAATCAGCATAACTAGATGAACAGTAACTTGTACCGTAATATAGAATCGAGCTGAAATTCTGTTGGAAACCAAGAAACATTAGACAGGTTGTACGTCATAGTTCTAGGCTCGATTTCGTGTAAAGAAAGTAGATGCAAGGGGTTGAGAAACTAAGCACAAAGATGAAGCAGTCATCTAATGCTTTTGACTTACAGTGGTTCTCTAGCTCATCAAAGTCCGTGATCAAAACTATATGAAAATGAATAGGGCTAAAAAACAGCTAAATAAGGTTTTCCTGCATCAGTAAGTCTATAATGACTGCTAAAATTATTTTTTTTCATAATTATATATGTTAAAATTTTAAAAAACGTAGGTTACTAGGAACTCATTAGCTACTTACAGATTCGTATACAAGTGATAGCTATTCCTAATAATGTGAGCGCTAAAGATACTTCCTAGATTACTTGAAAAGTGAAGGACTGATAATATTAGGTATAATAATTTAGAATATCTCCCACAAGTAACACAGTTCAATTTATCACACTCCGGAATGAAGTATAAGTATTTAAGGAATACAGAAATAAAAGGATTTCAGAACAGGGGGCAGGAGAGAAGGGAAAAACAAACGAATATTAAAATCATTAGGACTGAAGGAGAATCCGTTCTAAACAATGTCACTCATGGTCTAGTACCACTGATTTGCCATATTGGGAAACTATGACGTCTACCTACTTAAATAGACAGACTTTAGTTTCAATGATCTGATTTATCTGTTCATCTTCAGTGCTATGCCAATTTAGTTATACTTCAACAAGCATCACAGACTCATTTAGGTGGTGACTTGGCATCTGTAACTAATCCCCCAGCTACCACATGCTCATCATATTAAGGCGAATGAGTTTTAACTGATGAACTTTAACGACATAAAGCTAGTCTCTTTAGAAGTTAACAATTTGATCTCTAACATATACACACAAAGAAGTAAATATAAAATTATCAAGAACTTACTTCTTTACTAAACTCCAACAACTGAAAGTTTCTACATAACAAGATGCAAACTTCATGTAATAAATGCCCATAGATTTGATCATAACTAGGCCGTAACTGTGAGGATAATTTGAATAAAAATTGGCACAAAGGTTGAAGAATCGGTCTATAAAGCAAAACATTCTGTTTCGATTGTGTTATTAACTGTTCAAAAGCAGTAATTAAATGTCTTCTTAACACATCACGAGTACTGATAGATTTTTCATCTTTTGGTGTTGGATTTCCTTCGATCCAAATGAGGAGTAATTCAAAAATATTATTTCTTATTATTGTTTCAAGATATGAACCTTCTACTAGTTTGTTTCTTTCTAGAGCTTAAAAATACATAAAATAGGTTCCAATAATAAAATCCATTGGTAAATTAAGGCTACAAAAGTAAAATGGGTTTTAAAAAATGATACATACTTTGACCTTTAGATTAGTGTTCACGACATCAACCGACTGACCTTAACATGAACCAGAGACCCAGCTGTTTAGGTGTGCAGCTCATAGATTAAAACAACGCCCAACACACTTAAGTTTTAATACATGTTTACTAGTCCTCATAAAACAAATGTAGTTTACCATCAAATATGAGAACTCGAAATTGGTTGGATTGTTCTGTTTTGACCACTAACATCAGACACCAAACTACGATATTAAACTTGAGTAGCTTAATTACCCATGAATCTAGTCAGCAATAAACAGATAAAATATTTTATCGAGATCTAGTTAAGATTCAGATTACCTTTCTTCCTTCCTAGTATATGGTGGCTCTTAAATAAACTGGATTTATAAACCCATTAACTATGACTCAGATGATACGGAGCCATAGTATAAAAATATAAGCAATTTAAACAGATTGAACAAGTTTAAAAAGGCTTGTTATGGTGGGACGAATATTGGGGGAGCTGAGGTTTTCGGCCCTAAATTTCGGATCATTATTATGTCTTTACTATATAATTAGAAGACAACCTTATTATTGTATTTCTAAGTTTCTCTTATTGTAAGCTTTCAGTGAATCTATTGACTGTTTTTGTACGTTTAACTTTTCTCTAACTATTGCTGGTTAATTATGCACTGTTTCTTCTGCCTTCTAATACTCATATTATTGTGCTTAAAGTGTGATTTCTCATTTGATGTACTGTGTGATCAGGCATTTCAAGTGTATTACTGCATATTTTGAGTAACAATCGAATTGAGTACAATAGAGAATTGATCTGCTATTTATCCGCATTTTCTAACTGGCTACTAGTTTAGAAGAGGCTCGAGGACCAATAAGCGTTAAAGTCTTGACTGTTGTTCACTAGTCAATATGCAAATTCATGAAATAGGCAACCGGTTAGACTGGTAATATAAAAGGTAATGTCGATTAGATGCCTAGAGCCATAGAATAAAAGCTTTCTCAAAGCATTAAAATCTATTTTAACTCAAAATCAAACACACGTCTTTTGTACTATATAATCCAACTTGGTTAGGTATGACCCTACTAATACCTAGTTATTGAGTTCGAATACCACTCTGAAGACGGTATTGTTCATACATCAATACTTTTCTCAGATTTCCATCTCGAAGTGCAAATTAACAGAATATTAGTGGTGACGTTTGCTTTCAAGCAGAGCTTATCAGGCCAGTCACTAAAACCAACGGATGAAGCAGCCAGACTACACAGTGATTTCAAAATAACCTTTCATACGCTTGAGGTTTAAACTATTCAGCGAGCAATCAGAAATCTTTATTCAAATTATGTAGATTAAACCACAATTTTAATCACACTGTATGCATAAGCTGGATTTAACAGTTAACCAGGAGGCAATGACGTCCCCTTGACCTACTTATCATCCGGAATAACCTAGTAAGCTGTTCCATTAACAATGACAAAGAAAACATGAAATATTCTTATGAAGATAAGTACTATTTGAGTTCATCACACGATAGCACTAACCATAAATGCAATGATAACTGGTTAGCTAGGATTATAATTAGTTGTAAAAGCTGGAACTGAATTGATTGGAGAATCAAAGATATACAAAATTTACTTAGCATAATCATTATTAATATTTATTCATGCTGTTCTGTTAATATTTTGTACAAAAATGTTCTTTCATTAGAATAAAGGCCTATTATAGCTAAGGATATTGTTCACAATCTCAAATCATTCGGGGACATACCAATAATCTGGTCCCGTAATCAGTTATCACTCGGTTATTTCCTATAATTGTATTTTGTCTGTCAATTATTCTTTCCTTTCACTTTAAAAATTGAAAATTCGTTACACCAAACTATAAAATCAAACTATATGATATCAAGGAACTATTGTATACCTTTTAAACCGTCATTTATCTTGACAGTTAGCAGGTCTCTAGGGATTCTGAACTTTAACAGCTTATACTTGGTCATATAAAGAAAATAAGAATATCACTTAGCACACATTAACTACGCTGTATAGTTCTGTGACTCGAGCCAGTAAGCAAGATAAATCATTTCTTAAATCTTCTCAAGAGTGTAATATCACGGTAGACTGATATCACAATTCTATTACGCAAAAAAATTGTTTATAATAGTAAACAATACAAATAACGATTTATATTGTTAGATCTTGGTAATTATTAGTAAGATTTATTTTCAATCTTGGAGGGACCAAACCTCAAAACGCTAACAACACTAGACAAGTATCATAATAAAAACAGAAGTATGCGGATAATTAGTGAAAGTTATAAATCGGGAATGCAAATTATACAAGTGAAATCACTTTGGACTTATTCATAAAGTCATGCCATAGCGTTAGATTACAAGCGAATATGTTATTCAAAAAGCTACTAAATGTATGAGTCACATTTGATGGTTTGTTGTGCTGTAATTTGGATATAAACCCTTAATATAGTTAACGATCAAATTAGAGCATATAAGACTTACTGTCGGAAGAGTGCTCATCAACAACTAGCAGTATAATTTTACTGACATGGTGAAAAACGGTGTCAATTTTGGAAGTAGATAGAACCCCATTATCCTTTTCATCAATTAATGACTTGCAATTAATCCAATGATCGTGGAGCTCTTTAATATGCTCAACTTGCAGTACCTGATTAGACTTTGACTTATGCATCATTTCATTGGTTGGTGCAAGACACTCATTTTTAAGATGTATCGGTTACTGATCCGAAAGCTTAATAAAACCACAAAAAATATGCACAATTACATTGATATTGATACATATTTGGCAATTAGAAACAAAAAAGGGAATTTTAAAATAACTTTGACACTCAAAACCTTGGAAAACAACATTAGTTAAAATCCAAGATTCCTCACGACTATACTTTTAATCACGCAAAACGACTGGAAAGTTATGGTGCGTTAACACTAACTGATGGAACAAATTAGTTTACATTGCTAAAATGATATACAAGCATTTTAAACACTTCCTCAAGTAAATTTAAACTGACTCAAGCATTTTATCTTGACGTAGTTCAAAATTCTATGACTTAACAATCGTGTTATTAATACTAGGCTGCAGAAAATTTATATATAATTGACTTACCCTTCCTAAAAAATATCCCACGAGCGGATATCAAGAGATGGTATATAAATCAAAATTAAGTCACCGTTGGGTAGCTTATATATCTGTTGGGTAAATCTCGAGTATAACGAATCTTTCCTGTGTTAATCGTGATCCTGTGTGGCTGTTTCAGATGCTTGGAGGAACGAAACTTTTAAAGTACAATCGCTCTGCCGAAATTGTGTCAGCGGACTTAACAGCTAGACAAAGGTCGACGTGTTGCAGCAATGATTTACGAGGTTTAATTATGGCAATACGGCTACTAAGACATCAGGTTTCACGAGACCGGATAAACCTTCTTCTAGTCAAAACTGTGAAAAAAGAGGTAGTTTATAAGATAATTATGTTTTCTGGAAGCAACGGAAATATACTGAGGTCGGTAAATAAAGGGCGACTAAGTATACGAAAAACAAAATATTGCACGGAAAGTGAATCCAGCGAGTGAAATATCCATGTCACGTTCGTTTAGCACCTCAGATGAAGCAAAACGGCATAGGGTTATGCGAACAATCGTAAGTACTTTCAGTGACACTATAATTTATGGACGACATTTGGGCGACAAAGTGACCTTTTGAGTGTCTACCTACTTACTAGGGATAAATGAGGGTTATAAAGCAGTTTGAAGAATAAGGATTATGATTCACAGTTTATGCTTAGAAATTAGACTTTCGGTATTTCATCACGAACTACCATCAGCTAAAATGACAAGACGCTATTTGGCCAGATGGACGAGTGAGTTTCGCACCCAAATCCGAGACCTATACTTTTATAGCTAATTGGTTTGTCCATAAAATATAGTCTCGCCGTACTTTCTTGAAGCTGTCTACTAAAGGAGCTGTCGTAAAATCATGAGTCCAACTGTTCCAGACCACATTTGTTCAAGCTCTAAAACTACGATCGACATTGTTTACTGTGCTAAACATTAACGCCTACGACGAATGAGATTGAGGCAGAAGCCTAAGGAAAAACTACTCGATGGAAACATAAGAAACGAGCTTGATATAAGTTATGAAGTACTTTTTACTCTTGCAAAAAAAGACGGTTTGAACTTAAGCCAATGGAGTAAGCAAATACGGATGACTTTGAACTAATTTTAAGCAAACGAGTGATGTTTATTTACAAAAACGATTTGTTCCTTCAGGAAATGCTACAAGATTATCTGATAAGCAGCTTTAACATGGATACCAAACGTTTGAGAATGGACTCCTTTGTTTTCCATCAAAACTGGAATCAGATAAAATGTGAAAATTAATGCTTGTAGAAATTGGATAAATTCACCCAAAATACTTTACTAATTTCAATCTTAACACTCGTCATAAAAAAAATGAAAACTAAAGCCCATAGACTTCTCTTAGATACGAATCAGCTATTTGACAACAACTAACTTAAATTAAATGTCTGAATTAGCCTTATAGAGTGAGAGGTCTTGATTTTTTAAGATAGTAGTATTCACTTAAAAATGGAACAAACTAACTCTCGACTCATGTTCCTTGTCACTCCAACAGAGCGCTGATAGAACACCAAGGTCAACGAGAGTTTTTGCAATGTCCAATAATTCAGAGTCAGATTTCAGATTTGTGTAGTAAGGACAGAATGCATATGGCCTATTTTATTCCCTTCCTAGCATGCTTCTATGAGTGTATAGTCTTCTCTTGAATGTGTGAACTGAAGGTACGAACACCACTGCTTCGAAATGGTTCAAATGGTTCAAATGGTTGTGGACGGAATAGAAGAAGCTTTCGCTTAACAGGCTTCCGTGTCCAGTAGCAGGGGATCACCAAATCCTCCAGGCAGGAACCTAGGTATGTTAACAATAAAAGAGGAAAAGAAATTGGTAAATCATAGTGTGATGCTGTCCTTGGTCCTTAAGAATAGGTCAAGTTGCCTCTTGAAGGACTCCTGAGAAGTTGCTTGGACTAGCTCGGCTGGCAGCGAATTCCAGCTTTTGACAACTCTTAAGGAGTAGAAGTTGTGTCTACATTCCGTCTTGCTATGTTGTGTTTCCAGTTTCTGGGTGTTACCCCTTAGGTTATTATTCGAACTAAGCTTAAGTAGGTGTTTAAGAGGATGTCCAGAAGTGTTAAGAACACTATAGGCCATTAATAAGTCACCTCTGAGACGCCTATACTCTAATGCGTAAAGGTCTAGTGAATGGAGGCGTTCTTCGTAAGGTTTAGATTTGAGTCCTCGAACTGATTTCGTGGCTCGCCGTTGGATACGCTCCAAAGTGACCTTGTCCTTTTGGAGTGAGGGAGAGAGTACTATGTTTCCGTACTCTAAATGGGGACGGATGAAACTATTGAAGATTGTATGGAAAGTTCGTCCGTCAAACTGTCCAAAAATGCGCTTCAACGTTACAAGCGCAAGGTTTGCTCGGAAGGCATTTTTGTCACAGTTAGCGTAAGACTTTAAATCATGGGGCACCAGGACTTCTATAGCCTTCGTGCATATGTTCCTTATATGTTTATATTGCCCATACGCTCCGTCGTTATTAGTTCGTTTGTATTCTGCCCAACAGTGCCTTTTGCGGCTTAGCAGGCGAAGGGTACGGTTCTTGATTACTGTAGGTGGCTTGCAGCTTTTGGGAACCGTTTGAGGAACTGAATGGTTTGTAGCACATAAGAGCGTGTGCAGTAAGAAGTCCCAATGACCGTCCATGTCGAGTTGAGGGTGAACATCCCAAACCACCTGTTGTAGATAGTCATGTAGAGCTGGCACATTCAGCCGTTTAAAATTCCAACGCAAATTATTGTTGGGATACCTTAGCTTAGTTTTGATGACAAAACTGAAGGCTATGACGGCATGATCGCTCTTTCCCAGAGGAGCCAGGATTGAGAGGTTGTCAACTAGGAATTCTTCGTTTGTGAATACACAGTCTAAGCGCGATGGTGTCTGACTGTTTCTCCAACGAGTTGCCGACCTCACATTTTCATATAAGCCCAAGTCATCGATGAGGTTGAAGAACCGAGCTTCAATTGAGTTGTCGCCTCCAGTGTACGTGTGTTCCGCGAAGTTGACTCTAGGGAGATTAAAGTCCCCTAGAATCAGGATGTGTGTGAAACCGAGACGGGTAGAGCGGGATAGTCCTTCCAGCATACGACTATCGTACTCGATGTCGGCAGTTGGCTTCCTGTAAATGACTCCGACTAGACACCTCGAAGTACTAGACAATCTTACAGAGCACCATATGGATTCCTCAAGATTGTTAAACTCGAGGTTGTGAACTTGGTGCACCTCCAAGCAAGAGCTTATGTATATGGCTACTCCGCCCCCAATTCCTGTTTTTCTGTCGTTGCGGAACAAAGTCATCCCAGGTAATGCTAACTCTTGGTCCGAGAACTGAGAAGATATCCAGGTTTCAGATATTCCTATCAGATGGGCCTTATTAGCGTTGCTAAGTTCACGTAATTCATCCAGTTTGTTTGGTAGACTCGCGGCGTTCATATATAAGCAGTTTATGCTTTCAATTTGGAACGCGTGAGCTTCGTCCTGTTTTTCTGTATGAGCCTTATGTGAATGGACAGGTAGCCCACCTATATGAGGTTTGCCGAGGTGGTAGGCCCTGTCCTTTACACGTTTTTTTATCATTTAGACAGTCCACAAGTGGAATGGTCAGCTCCAACTTGCTTTTGTGTTTGGTCCTAGCTTCATATGGCCTATCCGGGTGCATGTGGATTCCAGGTGGCAATCGACGTCTGTTGGCACGAAATGCTTCCAGAACTGCAGCCGCCATGTGGGAAGATGGGAAGGTTATCTTCATTAGACGAGGTCTAGGATCACCGTCCTTCTTGGCTAGTCTCGTCACATGCTGAGTCAGTATGTGTTTGAGCCTCAAGGACTGTTTGATGAATTTCCATTCCCTGATGTCAGAATTTGATTGAGTAGGGTCTGCATTTTCCGGTATACCTTGCACAATTATGTTTCTTCCGCGGAAAAACTGATCGCGAGTTTCTTTGGGGATGTTCCGTATGATATTGCGCTCAGAGTACGGTATGTCGGGCAATATTTTTACGTTACCATCGGATTTCAGCAAGTGACTTGCTAGCAAGACGTCCTCTACGTCAGCAGCATTCTTAAGTGTTACTCGGAGAAGCCTCGGGTGATTTAGATGCTTAGAATCCTTTCCTCGAGTGAGCCGGGTGACCGTCAAAGGCTCTATTCTAGGAAGTTCGAGCTTCTTGTTCAATTCACAGGTTCCGAGAACTGATGACTCGATTTGAATACATCTATGCCACGGGTATGTTGTTCGTTCTTGGCTTTTATACTCTCCTGCTATGTCTTCTAAAACGTCATAATCTAGCAAGAAGAAAAAGAGAGAATGTGTTAGGTCCAAAATCATTTCTTAGTATTCTATACATCAAAATTAGATCACCTCTTAGTCTGCGATAAGACAGTGTAAAGGGTTCTAACTTCTCAAGCCGCTCTTTGCGTAGTAAACCTCAAATTTCCAGGATTGCATGATTAGCTACCATCTGTACTTTTTCCAAGATATCTGAGTCAGCTTTTAAACAGGTGCTTTCAGCCTACACGCAGTTCTCGAGCTTAGTTTTCATTAAGGTTGTGTATAATGTAGTGGACATGGTGGTATCTATGTCCGTTTTAAAGCCCAAAGGGTCTTAAACCCAATCTTATCAAAAACCAAGGGATATCTTTGCGTTTGGTTGTTGTTGCTTTGGCATGAATCTGAATCCTCGATATCGTATAATGGGCGGTAGTCTAGCCATTTAATTGCGGAAGTTCTAGTCAGTTTGGTAGTTACTTATTGGGTTTGAAAATCTCGGGATTCGATGGGGTGAATTCGTCACCAGGCGTCCCGGTTTCTGAACACCAGGAGCCATCACATTACCAGACAAGAAGTTAGTAGGATTCAGTGTCAAAAATAATCATGTGTTGATTTCAATGAGAAAACATTTTAGTCTGGTGAGTTTTAAAAAATACACAAACAGGCATATTGACAACAAAAACATTCGGTTTTTAACTTTTTTTGAAGTAAAGAAATAGATGTATGTATGATAATTTTAAAACTCGAAAAAATCGGAACGAAACTAGATGCTTTGTGGTATCGTGCGTGCCGTAGTGGTTTAAATGTTCTGGATAACTTACTCTTCTCCCATAATGCGTTGCTTTTAAGTCGGTTGGCAGATACCACTGAAGTGTGACCGTGATTGTTGATTATCATGTGAGGTATTTTAGTTGTGTGACTCGTGTCGTTCGATTGTACTGAAGGAAAATCAACGTTATTAAAGTCTACTTGTAAATACGCGACTGTATGACAATCAATGTTGATGTTATGAGAATCTGTATGCCTATGGAGACGTTCACATAGAACTGTTAAACTTTTCATAATTTTTATAAGTGCTAAAGGAATGGTAGGATTAACAATATTCGTTTGATCATATGCTATTGTTTTAGCTAGACGAATCATTTCTGTAAGATTTAATGAATTAAAGTCATTTTCATTTGACAAACGGTTTAGTCCATTTAATGTGTCATTAGTTTTTGATGAACTTATAGTTTGTATCCAATAATTTCGAATTTGTTCATGTTCAGTTGATATATCACTATATAAGGAAAGAATATAATCGAATTCAGTTGCCATTACAATTGCTTCTGCTTGAAGTGCAGGTGCAACAGGCAAAGTTCGAGATGATGATCCTCGTTTAGAAGAGTTCTTTCTAGAATCGGACAGGCAAACGTACTGTTTAATAGAGTTTACAATATTCACTATAGATTCTTCACAGGCAGATATTTCACTAGGTTCAAGGTATTCTTTTGGTAAATTTTCAAATATTGGAGCAGCTAGCTTAGTTTTGTCCAGTAATGTTTGAGATTCCATAAGTGGCCAATACCGTGTTTGACGTTCAATATCTTGTCGGGCTCGTTCTTTGGGATACACTGAATAATTTAATCTAGCTGATGCCGGAGCCAGACGAGAAGGGCGTAAGATTTGATCAATGAAGGCTTGTATACGATAATCTCCCGGGGCCACATTAGGATTAGAAGTTAAAGGAATATTCTGGGGATGAGTCATTGGGAAAATTGTTCCTAAAACATGTATATACATTACGGATCCATGACAAGTGAGTAGAAGAGCTTCATCCGTTGAACAAGATGTTAATAAGTTAGAATCATTAGGTAACGCTGGGAATGAAGACTGTAGACGATGAGCCAACGCAACAGACCGACCTCCTAAAACAAATTGAGCTAAGCAGGTAGATGCTCTATGGCAAACATCTGCTAAAGTTACTCTGTATGTTGCGACAGCAAAGCGCAGAAAATTAGTATCCGAGGTCTTCGGCGTAACCCATTTTATGCCCAAAGTTTTCGAAAATCCAGAGTGTGGTCGTGATATGGACTTATTGTTTTCACTATCTGTACGTACTAATAATTTCTCGTAAATACCCCGACGTTTTAACATGTCGTGTACCTCAGCTCGATGCAGAATTTCGACGCCATACATTGAACTACCAGAATTAACATTAGCTTCCTCCTTCATGGGAATATCTTGAACAAGTGTACTTGAAAGATTGTAATGACATTCTGCAAGACGCATTAAACCCTGATACAACTCTTGGCTGGTAGCTAGAAGTTTATGATAGAAAAAACGATGTCGGGCATTTGGATCTATATTATTAGGTAGCTCTAATTGCTCAGGGTATAGTCCATTTAGATCTGCTGAGAATTCAGAAGCTGGAAACAGGTCAACAAAAACCCATTCACTTGAAGTAACATCCATATGATCGGGTGTGTCGATAGGCTTCTCTAAAGACGATAAAATATCCGGACTCCAAGACAAAACTTTATTACCCATAGACATGCTTAAGACAACTACTCTGCCTTTGTTCTCGCCAGAATTAATTTCCTTCTGACGTGGCGTTAGCATTTGTAAGAGATGAGAGGCTGAAGATAAACCTGGAAGTGAACCACGTTCAAGAAAATTGAGTGAAGAGATCTTCGGTGGACCTTCCTGAGAAAATATGTTCCATATTGTATCCAAATTTTGATCCTCATTTAGCCATATAGAGTGAATCTTTTCCTCATCATCAAAGGTTAATATAGACATAGGTTTTTCGGTAGAAAATATATCAAATACAACACGACAGTACTATATAACGGCTTCAACAAGGTTGCTCCAAATTGACTTCTGAAATATCACTTTTGTGTTTACAAATTTAACTCCTGCATCCAAGTTTAATTCATCTCCGGCGAAACAGCTAACCATGTGTGTATGGTTAATAACAAGTACAGTCTTCCCATTATATTGATCGGCCTCCATACTTAAAATGTACAGAAAACTAACTTTACATCTACATTAGGTAACGTTGGACAGTATTTACGCGCCTGTTATTGTTATTTCAGTTCTTATCGACGATTTAATGCTTGAGAGCACGCCAAAGAACTTTAAATGGTCCTTCATATGTCGTTTCGAGAGGCCGTCGAAGTGAGTCGCAATGTAAAAAGTGTTTACTGTATAGTGAGGCAAACTGAACGAAAATATAAGTTGATTGCGGTTGTGTCAAAACAGGTTTATCTAGACGCAGGATGTTTGTACGCTTGCTCGTCAATGAGATTAGATCCATATTCATTGAAGAAGACGAACGATCCAAGAATTCTTCAAGGAGTCACATTGTCGTTCCATAAACGAGTTGAGCCGCAGTGCATCCAATGTCAGCTTTTACTGCATTGCGAATACCTAGTAAGACGAGTGGAAGACCGTCGGTCCACTGTGAAATATTTTCAGCTGAGAGTGAAGTTTTTAACTGTCAATGAGAGCATTCTACCAACGCGTTTGCTTGTTGTCGTTAAGTGGTTAATTCTAATCAAGTGATTCCTATTAGTGTAGTCGGACAACGGAAAAGCCCAATTAGGAACTGGAGTTTACGGTCTGTAGTAATAGTTTAAGGGCAGCCAAAGTTTACTATCCATTGTTCGACGAAGGCGTTGGCCACCAGATTCAGATGAACATGGTCGAAGCGAGCATCGGGAGTTTTGAAAGGGCATAACAGACATTTAATACGACTGGTCACCTTAGAATTCTGGCAGCTTGCTCAGGAGCGTGCCCACTCAAGCACGTCCTTATACCAGACTAGCAAAATTGCTCTGCTATTAACTTAGTGGTTGCACGAACACCCTGAAGGGAAAGCTCGTGCAACGTATTGAAGACGTTGCAACTATAATGATTTGTCACTAATGAACTGTCCCTACTTGAAGATATGTCACACAGAAATTTTGTTTAACCGGTTTTAATTCTCGTGCTGATCACCAGTGTATTCTTTTTAAAGCTGTGCCAGTGTGAGAAGGTCGATACCCTCGAAACCGTTATACGAGACAAGTGTGTTATATATCTAAAGGAAAATGCGAAATGTTGTTCAGCCGTCGAGACTCGAGGAGAGAACGTATCTAAATACATACCTAAATAGGTGAAAGAATTGTGGTCGATGAACACATTAAATTTTCAGCCCTCCACAGAGTGCTGTAAGTGCTGCACAGCACAATTTATGGCCAGGAATTTTCTACCGAAAATAGCATACGTGGATTCAGTATTGCAAGCGCCTAAAGATGAATGCCGAGGGTTGTCAGGTCTAGTTAACACATGGATGCAAGATTCCTCCGATTTCCGAGTCAAATACGTCTACTGCAATACTAATGGGTGCTTCAGTGTACCATTGTGGGACCAGTTTTTTAACTGTGGAGAATGCTTTATTCGTGACGCCGTACAAATTGACGATTTCGCATTTCCACGATTTCGATCGGTTAAAGGGAGGGCAGGGTTCTAATTTGACATTCTTCAATAGTTACAGTTCTTGTAGTCGTTCTAAAACATGGTACAGGCGCTGGAGATGAGATTCTGTGCTCAGAATTGCAATTAAGCAGTCGTCAACATACGCACGTACAGAGTTGAGACCTCGAAAAACGTCATCGACCAATCTCTGGAAAGTTTGTGCAGCGAAAAGCATGCGCGAAAATTCATAAAGACCGAAATGGGTGATGATTATGGTTTAAGGAATGTCGTCAGCAGTCATGAGAATTTGGTTATGCGCCTTAATCAAGACGATTTTCAAAAAACAGCTTTACCTTTCAAGAAAGCTGCCAAATCGTGAATGTGAGGCAACGGATGTCGATCAGGAACGGTTTTCGCATTCAGCCGCCGATAGCCAACAGTTGGACGCTAATTCTTTCTGTCCTTTATATGGGTCGTGTTCAATGGAAATGTTCATGGGCCGCTTCATGGTCGAATGATTCCCAAGTCTACCATGTGGACGAACGGCTACAATTAGACGCAACTCAATTTCGTAAATGTGCCTTTCAGCTTAGCAACCAATCAGGATGAGGCGGGAATTATTACATCCGCCATCTTTGTAAGCAATGACGGTCGGATTTCTTTGTTCTGTGCTTCTACTCAATTCAACGTATTTCTTCAGGCAATCTTGCTAGTCTTGTGTTATAAAATGTCGGCCGGCTTTCTTCGTTCTGTGTTTTTTCCGCTATTTCTTTTGTGTAGCTACAGAATTTAATGTTTCAGTGTGCTAAAATCCCAAAGTTAGTGTAATACGTTTAGAGTACTCTAAACGTTGGAGCAAAATTTTTCCTGATTTTGTTTTGTTTTCTGGGTTTTACCTGCTGCTACTGAAGTCACTGTATTTGTTCAGCTAAGCTGGCTAGTACTAACGTAAGACCTTACGTTTTTAAACGACAATCGGTTATGTTTTACCTTGTTTTCTAGATATCCAAAGCCGAAGTTCGTTTTTAGTTAGCTAAAATCATTGTTGCTGCCGCCTGTGACTCGAACTGTTCGTTCCTAACTGTCCTTTATGATGTTATCGGCAAAATGAAAAGAAACAATACGCGTTTTTTTATTTTTCTTCAGTATTATGGACAACACTATCCCACCAACGAGTCAAACTAATACAGAGTGCCCAGCAGTAGGGTATATCGGTATTGATTTCGAAATGACCCAGACTTCCGACAACTATAGATGAAGTCACAGATGCTACCAATCTATTGCAGAGGGTTTGTTATGAAAAATATGCCATATAGCAATAATAGAGGGGTTGTACTCATTACGCAGTGCTTTAAAGCAAGCTTGGCGAGACTCTAATTTAGCGACGAGCCAATCAGAAGCGTTTGAGCAATTTCAAGGTCACGGAGCCAAGTTCAACACGCGATGCCAACATACGGTGGCAGCGCTCCAGGGGTATCGCGACACTTTTTTGCGCTGCTTTTTCATTTCTGCTTTGTGCACAACCAGAATTCGAAATTAATTATGAATAAATTTGAAAGTCTATTTTCCGTTTTCATAATTAGGTGAAAAGGGGTTTTTCCATATTGCGTTACATGGTATCGCGAAGTCCTTGAAAATTCATTAATCAGGTGCTGCTATAATAGTTTTTTAGTGTTTGCATCGCAGATTAGCAATTATTTCTACTTAGGTATACACTGATGGTAGAAAAATCTTTTATTTTTATATGAAATAGCATGATTGAGGCATAAATCGTCATAAAAATTGTATTGTCGTCAAGGCTATCAAAACTGCGTTACAACTAACGATACCATGGTAAAAATTATCGTTTTTCCCGTCTTTATCACAATTTCGGCTGATTTTCACTGTTTTGTCCGACTTTCATGGCAGAAATAGGTTGATAGTGAAAACATTAGGTGTCCCGAGTTTTGTAAATATTATGTATGTGCTATAGATGATAATAACACATACCAATATGTTAATATCACCTTCTACAGTTAGATATATTAGCCACTAGATGATTATATTGCAGGAAATAAATCACAATCATGCTGAAGAGGTATAATTATGTGGAGATTTTACCAGAGACCAAGCTAAGATAGCATTACTACCTCTTGTGTAGATCTACACAAGTATTTGGCTGTACCAAAGCATGTCATTGAGATATGGTTGTGACTTTTTTTCCGTTTTTGATTCAGAACTCACGGGACGACTACCTTAATTCTCAATAGCCGTGCAATTGTTTTGATGTTCTACCTACATTTCAATAAACATTATTTTTCAAACAGCTTACTTTCTTATTTACATGGGAAACTGTAGAAGTGTTGAGAATGTGTGTTTGAGTGTCAGTAAACTTTTGATTAAATGCACATTCCTTATAAGTAATACATCACTTGTTCCTTCTTTTGCAGATAATTTAAAATAACAATGAATTAGCAGTTGCATTGGATATGCAAAATAATCGATGCTTAAGCTTCTGCTCTAGTGTTGTACAATAATATGCTTTAACTTTTAAATAAATTTTTTCAAAAACATGCCGGTTTTCTACTGCATTGCAGATTTATTTTGGTCTGTTGTTGAAAATAGAGGCGAACATAGGAGACCTTTGGGGTTATGTCAATGGATGGAAAATAGGGAGTTCTGTGTGTATTTAGGCGAAAAGTAGACAATTCAGCGGACATTTAGGCGAAAAGTGAGTAATTTATCGACAAAACGGCGAAAAAGGGGGAAATCCTCATTATTTCCCCCGGACAGGCGAAATTCTGATGCGTTTTCCCCTTTAGCTACCAAAGCATTTACCCCCTTACTTCCCCTTTTTGGGTTGTCTGGGGAGCTACAATGTTTTGGCTGCCGGTATTATTGCAAAAATACCTAATAGCAGAAATAAGTACTGATATAAAGCTGTCACGAGAAAGCACTGAAAAGTACGACTCGATAGTCAAGATATCTTGATCTAAGGTGACCAGATTGTGTGAGATCCTATGTGATGATCTTCGGAAATCAACCAAGGCCTGTCTAGCTTACGTGCTGATGCCGTAAATGATAATTACTCATACTTACGTGGGACTAGAATGGAATATGCATCAAGAATTGCAGGTTACACAGGACGATTCAAAGTAAATTCACACAGCAGTCTTCATATATGTTCATCGTCTAAGTTTCCAAAGTGCAACCTGTCCAAATAATTAAATAATACAATCCGTGTATGTTTTGACCCAGACTTTCCTAAGCAACGCAAGAGATAAAGGAAATAAGCGTGATAGACTATCCAAAGGAAGGGTGTGCTAAATGCAGTTTCGGTCTGTAATTGAATACTAGTTTCCGTTTTTATACTAGTTTCTGGTAAACATTTATACTGAAATAACTTTCCTGTCTATCTTATTTCCAGCTAGCTTCGCAAGTGTTCACAGACGCAACGGGAACAATTCCTGAGAAATAGAAGTTATTTATTAATGGATCATTTGTGCTAGATTCAAACTTTAATAAACGTTTTCATTTATAACGCACCAGTCTTTTAATTACGGCAATTCGTATCTATCGTGACAGGTCGGAATTCGAACTACTAATATGGTACACCATGTTCAAGGTAGCAGTATTTGGTA